TGCTTCTCCATCTTCCCCTCGATATCAGGTGCCTGCTGGTCATTTGCTTGTGGGGTTAGTGGTGTCCCCAGGTTCTCCTGTAGAAACAGGGAAGAATTTGTATTCCCCTGTGTTCCCTCTCTGTTCAATTCTCCTTCCCTTCTGTCTACTGGTTCCTTCTCTTTTGATCTTATCTGTGTGGCTCTTGTATTAGTTTCAGGTTCTGCCATCTCTTCAGATGGTGCTCTTTCACCACAAGAATTGGAGCTAACACTCTCCATGTCGAACTTTCTTCTCAAGGATGCCCATAACTCAGCATCTTCTTTCTTTGCAGAGTGTGATAGCCAGTTTCGAGGTCCAGGTGGACTCGTTCGAAGTTCCATCCCAAAGGGGTCAGGTACCAAGCCTGATGGTCTAGGGCATCTCAGTTTTGGATGTCCTATCCTCCCGCAGGAGTAACAGAACATTGGAAGTTTCTCGTACTTGACCAGGTACTCCACCAGCTTTCCTCCTAGATTCAGCTTTATTTTCTTCTTTAGAGGATTGTTGATGGATATGCTTACCCTCATCCGCATGTGAGTGTCCCACATTGTGCCCGAACTGTCATCAAACCATACTAAAGATCCAAATCTGTTTGCAATCTTTTCTGCCATGTTCTGAGTTCTCAACTCAGCAGGGAATTCTTTGATTTGGATCCAAATATCAATCATGTGTAGTGCTTCAGGTGTTGGTTTCTTGATAAGCAAGCTTGATTCGAAAACCATGATATTGTTTTCGTAATGCCAGGGGCCACCAAAACATACCTTGTTTCTGTCATCTTGATCCAAAAATTGGAACGCAAAGAGCATGTCTCCCAGGTCAGTAATCTGGAAACCCTTCTTTAGATTCCAAGCCTTAGCCAAGGCTATTTTCAAAGATCTGATGTTTGGTTGTTTCTCAGCTAACAGACGACCAATCAGGCCCAGTTGTCTTACAGCTTCCATTCGGAGGACATCAACATCACCATCCTCCACATCCAACGGTGTATCATCCTCATCTTCCAGGTTGATCTTGTCCAGATCTATTTCAAGACTTTCAGCAGTGCTTCGTAGTTCTTCAGGTTCCCTATTGAAGGCTTCCCTTCCGTTTCCAGCAGGTTGTAACTCGTCCATTGTTTCGCTTGAGACTCACGCAGTATGCCAAAGTTTCAAAAGAAGTTTGAGAACTTTAGGGTTTGCTTGCCTCGCAATTCTGTATCCGCAAAAGCTTCTTTGACTTCACTTTATATAGTTGTGTGACACAAGTACTCCGTAGATAATACTCTTTCTTTCCCAGGTTCCTCTATTCCTCTCAGAAATAGAGATCCTTATTCAAGTAGTAATCAGTCGTCGTCTTCTTCTCGGAAAACCTAGGAAAAACCCTAGCTCCGCCGCTCCGAGACTCTAGCTAAACGAGAGAAAATCTTAAAAATCATATTCAAGAATGGCTTCTCCTTTAGAACCGATCACATGAAAGGAAGTTTTTAAAGTTGTATTGACTCATCAAAACTACTTGTAGAGAAGACAACACTACTAATTTTGAGTGCAATGTGTAAAGTTTAAGAACTTCTATTAGACTTGAACTTCAAGAAGAAACAAACAACTATATATTTATAGTTTTCTAGATTATCCTAATTATGTTACAAATTTCTTTATGAATTGTATTTTTATAATTTTATAATTAATCAAAAATTTGATTTATAGAATTGTAACTCAATTATTTATGTAGGTTGGTGCTCAAAATTAATATCTTATCATTTTATTAAATTTTCTTAGAGTTTTACATTGGCTCATGTTAGGACTGTAAATATTATCAATTTGTAGAGGTTTTACTATATCTGATTTTTTTTGTTAGGTTTATCCTTTTTATTAGTGGAAGGTGTTATTACTTATTAGGGTAATAACAAAATAATGGTTTAGGGTAGTGTACATACTCTTAGTTATGCACTTATGTATAACTAGATCTGGTCTCTTTATTTTAAGTAAGGCATGACCTAAAGTTGGGATGAAAAGAAATTTTATTTTCCTTGCTTATTTAATTGATTATCTTCTTTATATTCACTTGAATTTTAAAGATATTAGTATAGCCTGAACTTGATTATCTTCTTTTTGATCTTTAACATTATGGTCCGAACTATACACCAAAGTAACGAAATTGGCCAAACCCGAAAATTGATCGTTATCTTGGATGGTCAACACGTCAACGCCAAGTCATCACCTTTCACTTAAATTTTTTATATTTTCCACCTATTACTATTTATTTTTTTCATTTTGAATAAAAAAATTAAAAATGAATTTTTGGACCTGAAATTCATTTTTCAATTATTTTTTGTTCAAAATGAAAAAAATAAATAAGACTAACATAGTTTAACTTTTATATATATATATATATATATATATATATTTTATTTTTATTTTACAAGGGAACTTTTTATAGTTATTAAAAGAAATTTGAACCTATGATTTCCATATTCAAAACTAATAGTATTAACAGTTTACCACTAAGACCAAACCTCTAATCCATCTCATCTCTTTCTTATCTAATCGTAAACTAATAACAATCATGAATCACAATACTTAGTATACTAACTTTTCAACATAATAAGCTCAGCCTCAACTATTGATATAGATCATCTTTAGTCCCTCCTTCTGGAATCTGGAAGTGGTTTTTTTTTTTTTTTTTTTTTGACAAAATCTGGAAGTGGTTGCTGGTAAGACCCTGGGAAAAAAAAAACATGAAATCCAAACACCACCCATTTTGTTGCTTTAACCTCCCAACACAAAATTCAAATGCATAGTGGTCAGGTTTTGAAATTCTACAGTAGGAGGAAGCCAAACAAATAATGAGAGAAATGGAAAGAAAAGGAAAAAAAAAGTAGCAGTAAGGTAAAGAGGAAAAAACAGATGGTACTGACAAATGCATTTACAACTCTTATGCAAAAATGTACAATCCTTTCCCCCACCACCATTGCCCAATTCTGAGCAACAGCATAGCAGAGGCAGGCAGGCAGGCAGGCATATTGGCAGACATACATGAAATGAAAGCAAAATTTCCCACTCCAATCATATATCCCTCCCAATTTTTACACACACACAAAAAAAAACAAATATATATATATATATACACGAAAAAAGTCATAACAATTTTTGGTGGTTGGACCATGCATTATTCAGAAACATTTATGTAGCCCCACACCATGCACCTCTCTCTCTCTCTCTCTCATAACTTGCTAGTTCGTACGTTATATTCTCTCTGTAAAAAAAAATGTTTCATTGACCAATCTATTAACTCGACCAAATCATTCCATGAAGGAATATGAAACACAGTAAAAAGGAAATTCATGAATATGTAATAAAGTTATTAACGGCCAATAATATTTTAGTAAGCCTGTAACATTTTATTACGTTGGTCTGATTCCATGACCCAGATTACCAATTTACCATTAGGATTAGGTTTGAAATAATTAGCATGCAATATATTTATTTTAATTATTCATAAATGTAGATAGATAGATAGAAAGATAGATAGCCTCTCATCATGTCGTCGTACAGCGAGCAAATATGCATACGCATGAAATTGGCAGTTGCGTACGTAGATATGGTGATCATATATAATAGTGGCTCCATCGATTCGATCGCGTGCACGTACAGATAGTAAAAATAGTTCGTCGAGACTGTGTAAATAAATACTATATACAGCTGCAGAAGGTACGCTCCGATCTCATCAGGATCCGAAAGCGGGTCTCCGTCCCCCTCTTTTTCTCTCTTTTCATTGGAACTCACCTAATTCCCTCCACAAGTTCATAAGATTTGAACTAATGCTAATTAGTTATAGTCTTAGCTAATTATCAGATTCCAATTGTGATTAGCATGCAGCTACATACTCGTTATCTTTAACAGTGTAGACTTATCGTCTCTCCAAACTTCTCTTGCGTACATGGTTCAAGAAAGCGCGCTTAAACTTACAGTTAGACATGCTTAGGTGCTAGACAACTTCATAACGCCTCGACTAGCGGTTACGCCCGGTAAGTTAGGAACCAAGAACACGTCGTGGAGTAAGGAGACACTTAGGTGTTGTTAGGGGAGGGGGGAATTGACATCATCTACAAGGGAGTGATGTAAATTGTTATTTATTTCATTATATAGTATAAATTGCTAATTTTCCTTCCAAAGTCTAAGCACACTTAAGCCACGTCTTGGGGAACTAAGAGCTAGGCAAGGCCCCAACTCTCGTTTTACGCTTAACTAGCGCCTTTGCGTAGTAACTAATCACAAAATTACAAGTACATAAAATTACAAGTACATTTTTTTTTTTGTCATAGATAGTTTGTAATAGATAGTTCTTTACAATGCATTGGAAATATAAATGCGGTAGTCAACCAACTGGGTCGCTACCGATGCAAGGGCCGTTTGTGTCACAAAATTACAAGTACATTTGTTTTAGGCTTTTAGCTACTAGTTCAGGAAATGCAGAAGAAAATATCATAACAGTGACAAAGTAAAAAGGCATCTGCATATCTATTTCATCATCACATCAGTAACCATGTCTCTATGAACCCCTTATAACTTATAACCATGTATAAATCACACGCTCCTAATTACATCATTACATCTAATTAGAATCTTAATTGCATCAAATAACATAATGACAATTACTGGGTTTATCGTGGTTAATTCGTTGTGATTCCAATCCCACAAAAACACTATGCAAGACTGCCAGCAATTTCATTGATAAACCACAAAAACAAACAAGCAAACAGAACCACCAGAAGTTCATATCCTGATGAAACCCTAGCTCTAGCTACAATAACAATTCGCCTATTATACAAATCTCACTCCAAAATTGGACACACAAACAAACACACATACTTGCAATTTGTAGTTGCCAAATCGCCAACTTAATTAATTAATTAATTATATACTAAATCTCCGGCGAGGTATATATTGAGATATATAATAACCGATGATTAATTTAATTTAAAACAAACCGTGGCCAAAATCGACCTACGCGGTCGAATCCTCCTCCCGCCGCTCCTCACCGCCTCCTCCTCCGCTGTGGCGGTTCCCATTCAGCGTCGCCAGAACTCCCAACTGACCACCGCCGCCAAAAGACGGGAAGGCAGCCATCGGGTCACCCGACCCGCTCATCATCCAAAACGTACCCGGAAACAAACCGCCGCCGCCACTCTGTCCCGCCGGTATCGCCCCGGCGCTGCTCGACTGCAGCAAGTAACTCATGCTCCCTGCCCCCGCCGCCGCCGCCGCAGCCATCATCTGGGGGTGGAAGGCGGCGGAGGGGGAGGGGAAGTAGGAGGAGGAGGAGGAGGTGCGGTGGTGGGGGGCGGAGAGGGTGGAGGAGGCGGCGGAGGTGCGGAGGGAGATGTTGAGGGAGGCGAAGTTGGCGGGGATGGTGCCGGTGCCGGTGGCGGCGAGGACGGCGGGCTCGGCCTGGTGGAGCAGCCACTGGATGGTCTCGCCGTCGGACTTGTGGCCGAGCTCCCGGGTGAGCTGGAACACCCGGGCGGCGCAGGCGGCGGGCATCCGGATCCGGCGGCCGCGTCCGTCGACCTTGGTGTGGCGGTCCTTGGTGGACGCCCGCTTCGGCGGCGGCTTCTTGGCTTGCTGGGGAGGAGGAGGTGGGTTGCTGTCGGTTGGGACGGCGGAGGAGGAGTGGTGGTGGGACTGAGGGTGGAAGAATTGGGAGGAGGAGGAGGAGGGTTTGTTGTTGTTGGTGTTTTGTTGGAGGAGGAAATTGAGCATTTGGCTATGGGTGTTGTTGTTGCTGGTTTCATTTTCTGGTTCCATGATCATGTGGGGGAAGTGGGGTGTGGTGGGGAGGGGAGAGGAGAGGAGGGGTCTATTATAAAAATTATTGCACATATATATTATTTCATATATGTATAGATAGGGACATAGGGTTGTTATAATGAGTTTGGATTGAGTTTTGTTTTGTTTAAATTTGGTTCGTTAACGAACGAGTAGAGCTAGGGTTGGCTTGTTTACCAACGAGCTGAGTCGAGATGAAGACGATTCGTATGTTAAAACCTTGTCTCATCGTTAACATAAGGAGTTCAGCTCGTTTATCATCAACTGGTTGAGTCGAGTCAAGGTCGAATTGATTCATTTATTAAATTTTTTTGTGTTGTCATTAGGATCGAGAGTTCGGGTTGAGCTCAGCTCTAAGACAATTTAGAAATTATATACGCGGATATTTATATGTCATATATATGAGATATATTTGCTCACAGCATCGTCAAGGTATATATTATACGTCGTATAGGGTGAGGTATAAAAATTCTATAAACATATGAATCATCGACAAGCGCTAACTCGTAAAAGCAGAAATTACTTATCTCAAAAAGGCGAGACCCGGCGGTTTGCGGCTTGCAAGATCTCAAAAAGTTTGCGGCCTCCATTTTTTGAATCCGAATAACTTTTTGAGATCTTGCAAGTCTCAAACAGTCGGGTTCCGTCTTCGTCTCGAAAAAACGTCATTTGCCACCCCGAACGACTTTTTTTTTATTTCGTCAAACTTTGGGCGGCCATAACTTTGTGCTCCAAAATCCGAATGTCATGAATTTTTTTTTATTCCGCATAACTTTTCAAATCTACAACTTTTAATATAATCATAATTTCAAAATGTACATGGATTTCTGAAAAGTAAAGGTAAAGTTATTCTCAAGGTCCCGTATATCCACAAATAGTTCCTGTTTTGAAAATTTCATCCTAGTAAAAGTTGTAGATCTTGAAAAGTTATGCGAAATGAAAAAAAAATCGCTACGATCGGATACCCGAGTGCAAAGTTACGTTCGTTTGAAGTTTCGACCGAACTTTTGGACCAAACCGCTGGTTGGGTGGCGGTTTTGGGCCAAACCGCCACCCCACCCAGCGGTTTTGGTCCAATTTTTTTTTTTTTATAACCGCCCCCTAGGCCCGCGGTTTGGTCCAAAACCGCGCCCCCGACAAGCGGTTTTCGACCAAACCGCTGAGGGGGTGGCGGTTTTGAAAAAGGATGGTATTTTTGGAATTTTTTGGGATTGGGTGGTATTTTTGGAATTTTTTTTTTAAACAGTGGTACTTTTGGATTTTCCCCTTTTTTTCTCCTATATTGTGTATGGATATTTTTGGGTGGTTTTGTTGCTGGATAGGAGGGAGATGGGGAAATAATGATGGTGATGAGATATTATTGTGTGGATGTGTAAACATTGTGACCATTACAAATTGGGAGCAAGACTTTTTTGGTGGCCAAGTGGAGGTCGATCGGAATGGACTGTCTTTTTCAATCTGTTTGTTTGTTTATTTATTTATATATGGAGACTTTTTCAGAGACATAATAATTAATGAAGATAAAAATCTTTTGTTCATTTTTCTTTATTGTGTTTTGGGGTGGTGTGGGTTCTCTTCCTTTCATATGGGAGCTGGCAAATTTTGTTGATTAATTGGGATTGGGTGAGTTGTGTTTGTGTTTGAGAAGGAAGGGAAGCAAATAACAGAGGAATTTTACAATGCTATATAATATTGGTGCTTTAGGTTTTTACTTTTATGGTACAACTTGAAATTGTACTTTTAATGTTATGGTACAACTTCAGATTGTACCTATATTTTTTGTACAAATTCTTTTATGGTACAACTTAAACTTGTACCTTATGTGATGGTACAACTTCAAGTTGTAAAGTTGTACCATAACATAATGATACAAATTCCTTTATTTTTTTTTATTTTTTTTATGAAGATGATTTTATTAATAAGAAAAAAGGGTTCAAATCTGTACAAAGAGATCAGGAGGGATGATCCCACAAGAAGGTTCGAACACCCCAAAAAGAAAGCAAGGGAATATAAATAGAAAACTCAGATTCCACCGGCCACACAGGCAAACATCTGCTGAATGAAAATATTTTGCACAGCACAAGACAGCATAGAGCAGCTCCCTCTGCTCGAATGTGATTCAAGAACCAGCACCATCCTTGTTCATTGTATCTGTCTAATGCGTTCCCGAACCCAGGTAGCTGCCCCCAGGCGATCGATCTTTCCATTCGCAACTCCCCATCCTGCAACATTCTTCAAAACTTTCCTGACGATCTGATCAGGATTCCTTGAGATACCATTAAAGATTCTGTTATTTCTTTCCAGCCAGATACACCAGCAAACAGCGTGGAAAGCACAGTAAACAAACCAGCCTTCCATACTGTCAGGGATGTCAGTTGGCCAGTTCTTCAGGATGATGTCGAGATCGTTGCCTGAAGGGAAAACCGACTGCCTGCAACTTCTCCTGATGATGCTCCAGACTTGCTTTGTGTAGATACAATCAACGAGCATATGGGCATTCGTTTCTTCATTCGTGTAACACAGATCACATCTATTAGCCAAACTCCAGCCACGTTTTTTCAGTTTGTCTTGCGTCAGGATGCTGTTGTGCGCCACTGTCCAAATGAAAAAGCATATCTTTGAAGGAACTATTTTCCTCCAAACAGAATCTGCAGGGAATGCGGAAAATCCTGGACACCTGTTCTCCATCAATGCTCTGTACATGGATTTGACCGAAAAGCCTGCCTCCTGGTCAGGAAGCCACACAAGTCTGCACGGACTATTAGCACCGATAGTGAAATCAAAGGAATTAAGAAGTGAAATCAAATTTTGTTTTTCCTGCTCAGCACCCCTTCTCAATTGAATATTTGTGTGTAAATTAAAAGAAACATTATCACCTGAAAGTTCCACGATGTCGTTGATCCTAGCATCCAAGTTAGTGGAGACAGCAGCAACTCGAGGGAAGTTAGCCGCAAGAGAAGGGTTCGAACATTAAAACATTTAATGTTTTAATGGTACAACCTAAACTTATACATTTAATGTTATGGTACAACTTCAAGTTGTACATTAAAACATCAATACTATATAGCATAGTAGAAGTGCTTCAAAGAACGGTAGAGGAGATGAGGACAAGAAGCTTTTAAAGCAACAACTTCAATTATGAGTACGTAAGTAATGTGGTGTGTCTGGAATGGATGAGATTTTGGAAGATGGGCAGGTGGCCGCAAGTTCGGATTCACCGACGAAGAAACATAAAATGCAAATAATTGTCAAAACGAATTTCTACAAGCTAAACTTCATTTATAAGCTCGTCGGTGGGTTTGCTCAAGGAGATATGTAGTAGAAGGTAGGGGTAATTTGAGTATTGGAGGTTGATATTTTTTATACGTATTATCGAAAAAATTAAAAATCAAAAAATAATATAATAGTAAGAAAACTAATCTTTTAGATATTATAACCGTTCACACCATTTTTTTATATAATTGGATTCACTTAGAGTACGTTTAAGATAAAAACAAAACTTAATTAATAATGGATTTCCATGCATAAAGCTTTTCACTATTTTCATAGGAGAAAAGAAATGTGCACTATTCATTAAAGAAAAAACAATTACTCATTATAGATTCAAAATGATCTTTAAATGATTCACATGTTTGGTAAATAGGCACCTAAGAAGTAAACATGTTTAGATAAGAAAAATATAAATGCATATCATGACCATTTAATCAAGATGTAATAGCAGTTCTAGACAATCAACCTTACAGCAATGGTATTGCATTACATTTAGACTTTTATAAATGAAATAAAAACAAAAGGCTAATTAGCTATATAGACACTTACTCCACTTCACATTATAAAAAATTATTAGTTCAATAAACAAAGAACCAAAAACATGACAATATTAGGGATCGTTTGGAACCTTTGATTCCGAAATTGATGTATTACGAGAATGTGTGTATTAAAGATTATGTGTATACTTAGAATGTGTGGGTTTGAAAATTCATTGTTTGGAACCCATAAAAGAATGCATGGATTATAGCTTAAATGAACTATGAATACTAAAATCTCATAAAAAGGTAAGATTATGAATATATCATTTTCTATGTATTAGGAATACAACATGGATTATGAATACATGCATTCTGTTATTATATAAAGTCAAAAAACGTTGTATTCTCAAGATACATGTATATTGAGAATACAACATCTGGAATCAGAGGTTCCAAACGAGCCCTTAGTAGTTGTAATGTTGTTCCTTATATTACTACCCATCATCATTAGATACAAAGGCTCGAGCGTTCTCGTCGTATACTGCAATTGAGTTCTCACATAGACATTCGAACAAACAACTTACATAACTTAACTAGTGGTTAGCATAGAGTAATTAATGGGTTTAGATTGGAAAAGAAGACTTTACTATTGAATGAAGAGGGAAGATTGTGGAAGCCCAACTAAAACAGTTATATATATATCGAATGAATTTGGGAATGATGACACCTTGAGCAAAGTTGTAATACGAATGTCTATGAAAAGGCAGCGACTGGGTTTTTTCAAAAAAGCACATACCCTAATGAAGTAAAAGCAAAATGCAAAGGATTACGAATTTTCGTTGTTTTATGAAAGACAAAAGTTAATTGTTGTATGGTGGGAGCAATTAGTTAGCTATAAATTTATAACCCAAAATTCATACACAATTGTATAACAACTTCCCAATGATTTTCTTACGCACTATATCTCATTCGTTTTAAATAGTATTCATATTTTTCATAGAGAATTGAATTAACTGTATCTTAAAAATTGACATCAATGTGATATATATGAGTAAAAAAAAGTACATTATTTGAACTATGTTGTATAGAAAATAAATCATGATGGTACAAAAATATACCATGATTGTATACATGATCAGAAAATATTTTAACTAAATATATCGATAGGATTCCACTTTGTATATCATAGTTAATTTTTTTTTCTGTACACTGGTTCATCGTGTTCGAGAGGGGGATGTGGCGCATAGTACGAGTGGCGCGATGCTGGAAGAAGTGTGTTTGGATGTAGCTGCTTTTTCTTTCTTCTCGTGTTCATTTATCACCATCATCATCCAAAGGTAACTCATTGGTCTGTACATTTCATTCTTAAACGGGCACTTGATCAACCTCATTTCGATTAACCTCTCCTTGTTCAACAGGCCTTTCATCATCAAAGTCGACATTTTCAAATATATGTTCAACCTTTTCACTTGTTTCTGCATCAATTTGCTTATGCTAATCGATGGTGGTCTACGGAGACAAGACGAAGCGAGATAAGCTCGGTGATGGATGGTGGCATCAAAGTATGATATGGATGGAGGAGATCATAGAGGCTTTAGAGTTGACGTTAGTTCAAAAGGATATGATTATAAGAGTGAATTTATAATGAAAGAGGAACTTGGGATTAAGTTTATTACTAATATTGGTTAGAAATACTCCAATTGACCCAGTTCACGAGAAAAATCTGACGCGACCGGTTGATGTCGAGGGGCGAAGCGGTATGTGCGCGGGGCACAGCAGGCTAGCGCGAGAGACGCGACCGGAGCCTGTCCATCAGAGGATGGTATCGTATGCGGACGCCCACAATCGGTTCGAGAGTTGCAATACATGCTGCGGAGAGAAGCATTCTTCACCAGCACGAGGACGTGCTGCATTATGAGTGGTGGAGAATGTCACGATCCGAAATGTCGTGACCGTGTTGATCGTCTGAAGAACGCTGCCATCTGGTTGTCTTGCCACGAGAAGGGTAAAAGGGGCGACATTAGCGATAAGGCGTTGTCTGCCTGTGCATCGCATCTAGCCGAGTCAGGATGTGGCTATGAAGGGGATCGTTGCAAGAGAAGGCACAACTGGTCGGAGGCTATTGCCGTCTCCCTGATGAGCCCAAGGCAGGGCGGAACCAGTTGGCATGCGTATGCAGAGAGGCTGGTCTTGAGGAATGAGTGCACCTCAAGACGCCGCACGGACTTCGGAAGTCTATGTCCGTGACAAATGGTATCAGAGCCTGGTTAGGCTGAAGAGCCTAGTTCCTCTCTCAGTACGGCATAGGTCGTGTATGGGCCGACCCTATGTCCGAATGAGAGGCGGTCCTGGGTGAGCATATCAGGCGGTCCGGACGCAGATACACATGTGTTGCGCCGTTGCGGGGGACCTCGACAGGCTGAAGATGCAGCGGCCGAGAATGCCGTTCAACCGAGGAACTAACGCTAGCAAGAGCGTAGGGTGAAGGTCGATTGAGGTACAAACGTTGGGAGTAGCGTAGGGTGAAAGTCGACTGAGGTACTAGCGCAGCAGAAGCAAAGAGTGAAGGTTGATGTCGAGGGGCGAAGCGGTATGTGCGCGGGGCACAGCAGGCTAGCGCGAGAGACGCGACCGGAGCCTGTCCATCAGAGGATGGTATCGTATGCGGACGCCCACAATCGGTTCGAGAGTTGCAATACATGCTGCGGAGAGAAGCATTCTTCACCAGCACGAGGACGTGCTGCATTATGAGTGGTGGAGAATGTCACGACCCGAAATGTCGTGACCGTGTTGATCGTCTGAAGAACGCTGCCATCTGGTTGTCTTGCCACGAGAAGGGTAAAGGGGGCGACATTAGCGATAAGGCGTTGTCTGCCTGTGCATCGCATCTAGCCGAGTCAGGATGTGGCTATGAAGGGGATCGTTGCAAGAGAAGGCACAACTGGTCGGAGGCTATTGCCGTCTCCCTGATGAGCCCAAGGCAGGGCGAAACCAGTTGGCATGCGTATGCAGAGAGGCTGGTCTTGAGGAATGAGTGCACCTCAAGACGCCGCACGGACTTCGGAAGTCTATGTCCGTGACAAATCCTTCTTAAATTTGCTTAAGTTAGCACCGACCTGAAAAATCGTATAAAATCATGGAAGTCCTAGATTATTTATGTTTTTATAAATTTTAATTAGGATGTTATGAATTTTAAGGTCCAAAAGTTCAGTAGTAAAAAATAAAGGATAGGGGCTAATAGTAAGATCGTAAAATTGTGAGATTTTAAGAGTCAAATTGAAATTTTAACTGTATCACTTATATATATCGACATTGTTTAGGTTGGAGATCGGGTTGATTACTATCTTTTCACACTGAAGGATGTAAACCATGTACTTTCTACATGATTTTTATGTGATTGATTAATCCACATGTGTATATCATCATTCATAAACAAAAAAAAGTGATATTAGATTCTTAATCTCCCAAGTGAATATGGCACACAAATATATTTTTTTTTTTTGATAATCAGACCTGCATATTATTATTGCCTCACTGGCTCAGAGTCAAGAAAGGGTAACAAAGCTACAGGTGGTTGGGCCTCCCAAGTTACTTGGGTATCCCAGTTACAAAACGAGTGGGCCATCAGGTGGGCCGCTCCGTTACATTCTCTTCGGGCAAAGCTCCATTGGACCGAGCCCAATCTCCTGGCCGTGGTCTGTAGCTCCGCGACCATCACTCCAGCTTCCAACCTCGACACCTCCGTCTGCTTCAGAGCGAGAAATGCGCTTTGGCAATCTTATTCAACGATGACTGCTTGGTATCCACATCTCTCCACTTGCTTCAGACCAAAGTCGATTGCCTTTAGCTCAGCCAGCTCCGGGGGCCATTGGGTGCGATCTCTGCAAACCGCCGCCATCAGGAATTGCCCTTTTTCATCGCGAGCCACCACACCAAGACCGGTCCCTTCATCCTTGAACACCGTCGCGTCCACGTTCACCTTAATCCACCCCGCCGGCGGCGATTCCCAGGTGCGTCTTCCCCCTTCCCTTGATTCTTGCTCCTTGGTGTGAATATCCCTGAATTCTTCCCAGTAATTTAGGGCTCTCCCCACGATTTCCCCTTCCTGTGCCTTCCTGTTGTTGAACAAGTGATTGTTCCGTTCATTCCAAATTGACCATAGGATTACACTGACCTGACCTAGGGTGCCATCATC